ATCCTTGCTCATGAAAATTTTTTCCGTACCTTCATTTCCGACGCTGCACTATTTTTTCCGCACCCCTTACGTCTATGGATGCGGGGTACAAACGAAAATGAATGTGGTACGTTCAGGTACTCACTGAGTACAATCGATACTATAAGAAAAAAAATCGATTTATCAAACTTCGACTCCAAGTTCACACAGCTAGTCAACACATGTGATTTGTTTTCGAGAAATGATGCCCTGACGTGTATTTACCCTTTAAATGAGGATTAGTCGGACAGCGCTCTCCTGCGCACTTTTCTGCCGTGAGAGTAGACGAATGTAGCAGTATGTCCAAATATGTACGATATTCGATTCGATATTTGTATTTTAAATAGGGACTTTTCTGATGTCATGCCTCCGTGACGTGAGAATAGACATATAAGGTGACAGGTTTTCGGAATATTTGCGATATATTTGAGATATTAGACACATACAACCCGATATTTATGTGACACCAGTGTCCAAAAATTACGTCATGACGTTTTTTAAATAAGGGCTAGCCTGACGGCGCGTCTATGACGTGACAATAGACACATCTTTCGACAAATGGAACAATGTTATGTATATGCCTTTCAAATAAGAAATTTTTCACTCAAAATCGAAAACTTGACTTAATCCAGATCCTCCTCTCATTCCAGGCTGATACAGAACCGATCTACTGGTCCTGGGTCCGTGCGATAGCAGCTGAGCTTGTCCGCCAGACCCCCTTCCGTTCCCGGCGTTGCCTGAACTTCCTGGAGATCCTCACAATTTGCCCGCGAGGTCCCCTGGCCCTCCCGGAGAGTCCGCCGGACTCCCGCCGTCGTTCACGAAGTGAACTCCGTTGTTGGCTGGGTGACTCGCCCCTCGAGAAATCCCTCCACAGTTCGTCTATCCTAGACGACACCCGAAGACGAGCGAGAAGCGAATTGCGCTGCTGGTCGAGTAGCAATTCCAGTGACGAAGACATTGTCGGGGAGTTCCGCTCCATCCCCGCTGTCCTTCCGAAGACTCAACCCACGAGGACCTGGGGCTGCAGCGAGAGCAGCGAGGGAAGTGACGACAGCCTTCCCTGGGGTGCCAACACCACCACAATCTCTCTACCTGAAGCACCTACGAGAGAACAAAGGATCCAGCGGTACAAGGAGGCAAGGAGACGGGAGAACGAAGCCAGGACGAAGAGGGTTCTCGAGGAAGACGCGAGAAGGCGGAAGGCCAGAGCCGAGGAGAACAACAACGACGTGAGGTACCCAAAGCTTCGGAATCGCTTGTTCCGAGACGATGATCTCAAGACAGCCAACATTGTCGACCTCAGCAACTTCACGGAGAGGCTGCCGCCGATAAAACCAGTGGAGTCCCGAGTCCTTCCACACAACAGGAGTCTAGAGGACTCGAGGAACAACAACATCAACAGCTCCAGGAGTTCGAGCGTCCTTATGGACGTGATGACGAGGGTTGAGACGAATTACCTGGCGTCGGAACGAAGAAGTCGGGCGAGGGAGAGGAAGTCTTTGAAGACAGAAGTGCCTTTGCAGGTTCGTCCGGTAGCTGTTCCCGAGCCGAAAGACCTGACGTCGAACATCCTATCCAGGATTCCTGTCTCGAGGACGACGGCCCGAGCGAGCTCCAGCCCTAGGGGATCTAGGATCGAGTCGAAGGACGTTGTTGACGCCAGAGACAGATCTCTAGGGCATATTCCGAGGATCGGGGGGAGTCCAAGTGCCTTGACGATATGTGCGAAAACCTCCTGTGAGGAGGATGTCGCCAGGTTACTGGAGAGGTGCCAGAGGGTCGATCATTATGTTCCTGTAAGGGAGAAACTTAATCTGTTTGAGTCGCTATCGAGAATGGGCGGAAGACTGGCGAGGAGCACTGAGGACCTGGGGAGATCCTCTGCGAAGAGCAGTCCTGAGGGCAAGCAGAGGGCTCGATCACTTCATGATCTCAATCGGGGGGCCAAGGCTGTTCCTGTCAGGGAGATGTGCAGACTCTTCGAGGGGGATCAGGAGACGTCGAGGAATAACGAGGTTCTGAGGAATTTGGATCCACCTTGTGTCAGGGCTTCCACGAGACGGAGACACTATCTTAAATGACAGGAGTCACCAAAGAATGGAATTGCCAACTTGTTCAACTGTTTCTGAGGGTCGGTAAATTGTGATTTGGGGGTTCCGTTTGAGATTGAGGTTATGGAACGTTGAGGGCACTCTTCGCCATCAATATGGCCGGTTTGAGAGGCCTCGGGAGTAAAAAGAAGTACTGAAATGCAGCGGGGAGTGAAAACATTTGGAGGGTAGCTTGAAAAATTCGTTCATTTTCTGGAAATTGACAGGATAAAATTGAAGGTGATCTGAAAAGGATGAATAAATTTGAGAAATGTTGGAAAATACGAGGTGGCGGACAGGTGTGGGCGCCATGTTACTTGGATACCTCATCCTTCTGCCACAGGGGGATTTAAAGATGGCGACGCCCCCACCTCGTATTTTTCAACATTTCTTAAAATTATTGATCATATTCAGATCACCTTCAACTCGCTTTTCACTGAACATTCATCGCGGAATGTTTTCCCCGCATTTTTTTACTCCATTCATAGGTGGCGTTTTCATTACCAATTTGTTTTTTGATATTGAGGTTATGGACAACTGGGTTCGCCAATTAACGTTGAGGGCGCTCTTCGCCATCAATATGTCCGGTTTGAGAGGCCTCGGGAGTAAAAAAAGTACTGAAATGCACCGGAGAGTGAACATATTTGGAGTGTAGCTTGAAAAATTCGTTTTTTTCTGGAAACTGACAGGAAAAAAATGAAGGTGATCTGAAGAGGATGAATAATTTTGAGAAATGTTGGAAAATACGAGGTGGTGGACAGGTGCAGGCGCCATGTTGCTTGGATACCTCATCCTTCTGCCACAGAAGGCTTTAAAGATGGCGATGCCTCTGTCTCGTATTTTTAAACATGTCTTAAAATTATTTATCGTATTCAGATCACCTTCAACTCGCTTTTGACTGACAATTCATCGCGGAATGTTTTCCCCGCATTTTTTTACTTCATTCACAAGTGGCGTTTTCATTATAGATTTGTTTTTCCTTTTTGGTGATAAAACAGGTTAATTCATACAATAACACGGTGTTACTCCGGTAAATCTTCTCTTCCCCCAAAAGAAATTGAACTGTTGGCAAAACAACAAAAAAATATTGAAAGAAATATTCAGAGTGGAAACAATTAATGATGTTTGTTCAAGCAGGTCTGAATAATGTAATAACGACTAATTTTTGTACAGATAAATTAATGCTAGATTTTTTTATTACATCGTCAAGCATGGAAATAACTTATGATATATGTAAAAAAAACATTGTGTGACAATTGTATTTTTTTTTGTATTCTTGTTGAAAATGTAATTTGTTTACGAACGCGTGATGAGTTTTTTGTACAGTAGAACAAATAGGAGAAGCTGATGGACTTGCTTAGGGAAATTCTGCTTCGTTGTAATTTTCAAATTGAAAATTCGTTACTGAAGATGAGAAAATGTTCGGAAAATGAAAAAAAAAGTCTGAAAGAAAAAGAATAATTTCTCTTGGTGAAAATGTATTTCTTTTTGTTGGGATTTCTAAAGCAGAATTGCGTCTTCGTTGATGAGTAATATATATTTTTTGGCCACTCGCCAAAGAGGTCCTCTAGTCCTGAATAAAAGTCATCGTTGAGATTGTGAATTCAGTGGAAAAATCGATGACAATTTTTGTTCCCTATTCTTTGAAATGTCAATTCCCCTCCTTTTCCTTATGTTCATTGTCACCTTGTAATTAAATTGTTTTTCCCTCGAGATGTTGAGCTAGATGTAAAATATATAATTTTGTAAACAAAATGTTTCTTTGTAATAAAATTCAGACGAACAGCAGCTGCATTTGTGAAAGCCGTTGAAACGTCTATTTTGGTAAATTTTTTATTCATTGTATTTTTTCCCAGACCCCTCCTCGCAGTATTTTTTGTCACAGAGTGATCCAGAGGCATATGAAGTACTCAGACCGAAGTCTTTTCACATGCTTTCAATCAAAATAACTATAATTACTCCATAAATATTATTCACAATGATTTATTGTCTTTGAATTCGTTTTTTACAGATAAATTCTTCACTATATCATTTTTTATATTAAAAAACAGGAGAAATATTTACAATTGGTATTTGTAACTTGCGAAATTATATAAAAACTTTTTTAAATCATAAAAAACTCGCCGTCAGGGAGAATTAATTTGATCCTCAGTATGTCGTAAAAAAATAGTTTTATTAAAAAGACGTATTTATATATCTTATCAACGTTAACAACTCGATCCGGGGGAATATCCACAACAGTAATGATACTACTATCACTCACAATTACTCTCATAATATACAAAAGAACAATTTGATGATTAAAAAAACAGGAAAAATAAATCATAATCTACTTCATCCATCATAATGCCTGACCGATTAGTGTCTTTATGTCTTAATCCTTGGAAAATGACCAAAAATGGTGATTTTACTCGCTGATGATGAAGATTATCTAGTGCATAATTACAGTTCTCATCGAAATAAAAGGAAGTTATAATGATAGTAATGATTATGATTGGTTTCATGAATTAATTTTCTGAATGCGTGATGATAATTGTCTCAGAATTCAGAAAAATTTTGCTCCTCTCGATTGATTCTTTGAGCAAAATATGTCTCCAACGCGAAAAAAAGTGTTATAAATTTATTTAGAGGGAGGCTTTCATTTAAAAAAATTATTTTGCGAATGAAGAAGCGAAGTTTTTGGGGAAAATAATTTTTCCGGGTCATGGGAGCTTTTGATGGCTTGTTCTAGCTCGAAAAATCAGGAAGCTCTTCCGTTCTTCATTCATCCCTAGCTGTCACGATCCAGCGAGTCGAGGGTGTCGTTGCTGGAGGAGTGGGTGAGGTCGCTCAACTCGTCCAGGTGTTTCTGGCGTTTTCGTACGTTCCAGTGGAGACACTCAGCCAGGGAGTCGAACCAGTCGGTTATTTGATCCGCTGCACAGATACTCGGCACCGGGTAGATCGACGTTGTCACCCGCAAACTGAAAATAATGAGTGGAAATTAGGCAGATGTTGATTTTTTGCGAAACATTGAAAGAATTTTGAAACATCTGTTCCAATTTGTTTTTTAGGGGAAAGTTTAGGGGAATGAAACAGCCGAAAAACGACTATTTGGCGCAATTCAACCAGACAAAAATTTTTTTTATCAACTTGTTCATTAACTTGTTTTATTATTAGGAGTACTGATGAGAATAATAATTTTCTATTCGTCGTATAATTCAATGGATTATAATTCAATTGATTAGATTAGGCCGCTTACACTTTTAATTTTTCATTCGATTGAAATTCAGTATCAAATTTTCCTTTTTCCCCTGTGGGTCTCCCCCTGGGCCTTCCTCTGAACTTTGGCTTTTGCTGTTTCATTTTCTTTTCAATTAATCCATTGACAAAATCTTCTCCTGTCAAAATTTCTCAATAATTTTCCATTCTACTGAATGGAAAATTATTATTCTCATCAGTTTACTCCCAAGAGTAAACAAAAGTTGATAAAAACAATATTGAATAAATAAATTTTTCTCCTTGAATTGTGTCAAACAGTCAAAAAAACGTCTGTTTGACGCAATTCAAGCAAAAAAATTGTTTTATTAAATTTTTTTTTGTCAACTTTTTTTTATTCTTGTTCTTTTGACTGTTTCATTTTGCCTCACTCTTCCCTATATTTTTAGAGATTTTTTTAAATTGAATAATCATAGAGAAAGACATCATGTGACATAAATAATCAAATACAAAAAAATCTCCATTTTTTTTGTAAATGCTATGAAGATTCATAAATTTCATTTGGAAATTTAAATTTTAAGCTCTCAATTATTGTCTTATTATGCTTAGCTATAATGTTATAATGTTATATGTTATGTTATGTTTCACAAGGTTTTAGTCTTATCTTATTGCTTATTGTAATGTAAGAAATATATATGAAACAGAAGAAAAAGGGAAGAAACAGTAAAATAAATAAATAAATAAATAAATAAATAAATAAAAAATATATAAAAAATGAAAATAATTGAAAAATTGAAATTGATTAAATTGATAAAGAAAAGCGAACTCAAATAAAGAAATATTTCATTCGGCAATCTACTTGTAAGCCGTTATACTCAACTTAATTTTATGGCCTCGCCAAGGAGCTCAACTGATATTCTTGTAAACTATTGTAATTTTGTTGTCATTTACAGGCTTGAGGAGCACTTTCTACACGTACTAATTAAAGCGTACTTGTTAAATCCTTAAATTTGACATAATTATTTATTTATGTTTTACTCATCCCCCCTGCCATAGGGTATTGTCCCTGAGAGGCAGGTATTGATAAATAAATAATAAATAGATAATAAATAAATGAATGAATAATCAAGTACAAAAAAAATTTGAGAAACAAGTTATGAGATGAAACGGAAAAATTGAAGATTTTTTTTCACATTTTTTAGAATATTTTCGCAGATTTTTTTCATTGTTTGCATTTGATATTGTTTTTTCGAAGGAGAAGAAATAATGGAATTCCAAAAGAACTCCAACTCCTCAGCCATTTACGGTCATTCTTCCACCGTACGTTTAGAGTTGAGGGTTAAATGAAATTGAGGTTTAACCATTAAGAATGTTGAACGTCAAGGGTCAAACGGCCCTTGGGGATATTTAAGGTTCAGGGTCAAATAACCCTTGGGGGTATTTGAAATTCAGAGTCAAATGTTTGAGGTTTAACCCTTGAGAACGTTGAGGGTTAAGGGTGAAACGACCTTTGAAGAGCGTTTGAAGTTGACGCTCAATCATGAAAGATTTAATTTTTGAAGTATAGCTAATTTTTTAATCTATCGTGATGTTCACTCTTCAATGGTTTTTCCAAGTTATGGAGGGCACTGAAGGGGTTATTGTCTGTCAGGTATTTTTTTTGTATAAATATTCTGTCAAAATCCAAGAACAACTAATGGATTAACGAGGTATTTCATGAGTTTCATTGTAATTTATACAATTATTTGTTGCTATTTAGTTGAAATATTATTCCAACAGAACTAGTTGTGATTTTGTGTTTTTGTTTATGCAGAAGAAATTATTGCCCTGATGACATGGAAGAAATGAAAGTTTGAGTCTTTTATTTTTTTATTAATTCAAGTAACTAGTACAATCGTTTTCAATGACTCCAAATGGCTGAGGAGTTGGAGTTTTTTTCGAAGAATTATGAGCGGTTGAATAAATTGAAGTGAAAGAAATGTTAGAATGTTTTCAGAGGGTTAATTATTCCCAGTGATCATCATGAGATACTTATTAACCTCAAATTTTTCTTCCAAGTTTTGCATTAATAGGGATATTCCGCGTTTTAAAATCAAGACTTTCAAGAGGTCACGGAATTAAAAGAAAAAACTGAAATGCGAGAACGAGTTGAAGGTGATCTGAGGAGGATCAATAATTTCAAGAGATGTTCAAAAATTTATAAATAAAATACGATAAATAAGGTTTAAAATTCCCTCCTCTGCCGGAAGAGTCTTTAAAGATGGCGGCGCCCTCACCTCGTATTTTCAAACATTTCTTAAAATTATTTATTCCCTTCAGATCACCCTCAACGCGCTTCACCCGGTTTCTATAAAATGAACAAATTTTTCAAGCCATATTTCAGCTTTTTCCGTTCTCTTTTGGCCGAAAATTCACGGCACAAAATTCTCTCCGCATTTCAACTATTTTTTCCCCTCCTGAGACCTCTTAAATCTTCTTTCACTACAGAAAAAATTGTTTGCAAAGTTCAAAGAATTTAGACACCATTTGACATCAATAATGGAAGGTAAAAGTGGAAATATCCCCATGGCAGTAAAATTGAAAAACAATAGGCGATGACACAGAGAGATAGAAGAAACCTGCAATACCCATTTCCCTTTTCCATTCACCAGGCACCACCCACGTCTCCTCCCATGGCGTATTATTGATTCCCCGATGAAATCTCCCAATCGAATAGTACAAAATGTCCCAAGAAATTGTGATTCTGCGTGATTATTTTATTTACATATGGAGCGAAGTATTCAATGACACTGTAGAAAGCACCCGAGGCAGAATGACATTTACTGAAGAGAGAATTCAGCTGTGAAGTGGAAAAACAATTCATGTCGACCTAGCGCCCAGCTGAGTTTTTGAAGAATATCTTCGAATCCAAAAGAGTTAGCAAAATTTTCGTCAAAACTTTTGTAGCTTTCACTTTGTTGTACAAAAAAGGTCATTAGAGAAATTCCTCCATCTCCCTTAAAATTTGAGTTATTCGTTGAAAACCAAGTCCTAGACGAAATTGAATTGAATGGCTTTACCGCTTCACTGATGAATTGTATTGAATTTTTGGAAAATTGAGAGAAAATGATCCCCTGATTCTGACTCCCTCTTTAATCAATTGTCCGACCAACCTGTCCCCAGCCTGCAGCTCTTGCTGATTACGACCATCGAAGGAAACGTAGGCTGTGTTACGTGCCTGATCACTAGCCATAATCTGAAAATCAAAATTACAATTTTAGCTATTGGAAATTTATTGTTTACCTGTCACCATGGAAGAGCTCCTGACGATTGCGTCCGTCGAACGACACCCAGGATGTATTTCTACTGTCTGGTGATACAGAAATCTATTTTTTTTTTGGATGAGAAAATTTATTTAAAATTGATTAATTTTTTTTATAATTTCATTTTTGAATTCTAAAGGCATGTCGGGAACATTTTTGTTGATTTTTTTTTGTTTTTAGATTAGGGTCAAATGGTTTTGACTCTGAATGCCGAATGGAGGTAGTTGGCTTTGTGAAGCGGATTTCGAGAGAGATAATTTCTATAGTTCCCGATAGCTCAGTTGGAAGAGCGCTTGATGTTGTATTGGGAGATCCTGGGTTCGAGTCCTGGCTAGAGCTGTGTGATTTTTTCTCTGAATAATTCTAATTGTCTTTGCATTTTCTGAGGGTCGAAAGGTCTTGAGGGTCAATGACCCTTAAAGAACGTTTGACGTTGAGGGTCAAATGGTTGAGGGTCAAACGGCCCTTGGAGAACGTTTAGAGTTGAGGGTTACATGAAATTGAGGTATAACCCTTAAGAATGTTGAAGGTCAAAGGTCAAACGGCCCCTGGGAATGTTTAACGTTAAGGGTCAAATAACCCTTGGGGGTATTTGAAATTCAGAGTCAAATGTTTGCGGCTTAATCCTTGAGAACGTTGAGGGTTAAGGGTGAAACGACCTTTGAAGAGCGTTTGAAGTTGAGGGTCAAACGACCCTTGAGTATATGTGAAGTTGAGGGTCAAACCGTTTTGAGGATCAAATGACCCTTGAAGAACGTTTGAAGTTGAGGGACAAACCGTCTTGAGGGTCAAATGACCCTTGAAGAACGTTTGAAGTTGAGGGAAAAACGGCCCTTGGAGAACGTTTAAAGTTGAGGGTCAAACGACCCTTGAGGATGTTCAAAGTTAAGGGTCAAATGACCCTAGATGATATTTGAAATTCAGTGCCAAATGTTTAACATCTAACCCTTTAGAACGTTGAGGATTAAGCGTGAAACGACCCTTGAAGATGTTTGAAATTGAGGGTCAAGTGATTAAGGTTTAACCCTTGAGAACGTTGAGGGTCAACAGGTCACGAGGGTCATAAATTGGCTAGATGATTAAATGCCCTTTAATAACGTTGAGGGGTAAGGGCCAATGGCTGCAAGGTTCAAGCGATCCGCGAGGGCGTTTATGGATGAGAGTCAAACGGTGTTGAAGGTCACACGACCCCTAAGAATGCTTGGCATTGAGGATGAATGCCAATGGTCTTGAGGGTCAAATTAGTTGGAGCAGATTGATCAGAAATAAAATACTCACTCTAAGTTCAACCCCTGCAGGTACAACGATGGGTCTGAATGACAATGAGTGCGGACAAATAGGTGTAATCATAATTGCAGGTACTGAAGGATGAATCATACTCGCTCCAGCAGCAACAGCGTATGCCGTTGATCCGGTTGGTGTGCTCACAATGAGACCATCGCCTTGAACACTAGTTACGTGTTTTCCATCGATGAATAGATCGATATTCGATAAATAAGGTGAGGGTCCACGATCAACAACAACTTCGTTGAGAACGAGAAGGTTTGTGGGGGGTTTTGTCGGCTGTCCATCTTCACCTTTTCTCATTATTAGGCATCGGAGACGACTTCTCAAGGTCAACGCCGCGTGACCTAGAAGTTGAAAGATTGAGGAATGAAGAAATATTCGAATAAAAATTAATGTATAATTTAGGAAACTTTTTTTTGCGTTTTTTGATGATGGTCAAGTGGTATTATGGGTCAAAAGGCGCTCAAGAACGTTTAGGGTTGAAGGTCAAAGGGGTTTGAGGATCAAACGACCCTTGAGGGCGTTTGCAGTTGGGGGTCAAATTGTTTTGAAGGTTAAACGATTCTTAAGGATATCTGGAGTTGAGGATCAAATGGTCTAGAGAGTCAAAAACCCTTAAGAACATTTCGGATTGAGGATCAAATGGTTTTGTGGGTCAAATGACCTTCAATGACATTTAGGGTTGAAGGTTCAAGGGTGTTGAGTGTCAAACGACCCTTGAGGATGTTTGGAGTTGAAGGTCAAATAGCCCTTAAGGATGTGCAGGGTTGAGGGTCAAATGGTTTTGTGGATTAAATGACCTTCAATGACGTTTATGGATGAATGCTAAAGAGTTTTAAGGGTTAAGAGTCAATGAGTTGTTTGACCCTCACAACCATTTGACCTTCACAAAAAAAAAATCCTGAATTATGTCAAAAGTTCTTTTTCACTCCTCATCCCATCTCATTTTTCATCACTTCTGAAAATTATAAAATATCATTTTATCCACTCAACAGACTCAACTCACCTTCAAGGACATTAGTAACTTGTTCTTGAAAGTTATCAAACTCAAATGGCGTTAGGAAACCAAGTGAGCCGAGATGAAATGCCATAACAGGTGGTACTGACTGTTGAAACAATAGGCTCGCATAAAGCAGTGTTCCATCACCACCGAGACATACAATAAAGTCAATTCTGTCCTGTAAATCATCAGTACCATCTCGAAACGTTTGCAGTCTGTCACGGACGCCCTGGAATCTCGGATCCCTAGCCAATGCTGGATCCTCCAGGACTGACGCCTCCACAAATACCACCATTCGTTTTTCCTGAAATTTTAGTTGTTAATTATTAATTTTTTTCTTTTCAACAATGAATTTTAACTGTTACTTTTTCCAAGTCGTCGCCGCTTGATTATCAATACCAATGGAGTGATTAGGTGGAATGGTTTTTTTTTTACAGGTCTTGGTGTTGTGTAACTTTGTTGCGTCGTCAGGGAATTTGCCGTTGCACGAAAAAATTTATTTGAAAAATCTCCCGAAGTCGATAGGACATTCTAATGGGTTCTTATTGAACTTCTTTTATACAGGGATAATCATATCCATAAATTATAATCAACGTTAAATTATTAAGTAGTAAATTCGTTAATATCACTTATCAATTTTAATTACTGAAGTAATCATCAATTTGAATATTCAAATTTCTAATTATTTATTCATCGGAGAAATTCAGTGGTATTCACTTAATAGAAAATTTACAGTTCCATATTATTAAATATTTAATTCATCATCAAATAGAAATTTAGATTATCAATTATGTTACTATTTTTAAATGTCGATTAGTATAGTTAAACCTTAATCAATGTAAGTCGGAAAGTTTTATAATATTGAAGAATCGGAAGAGCGATGGCCATCCCTGCTCTGATAGTTTTTCTGATGGATGTAGAACATTTGAGCGGAAGAATTTCTATAGAAAATATGTCAATAGTATAGATTCTATAGAAACATTTTTAAAAATCTATAGATTCGATTGCATTTTTCTCAACAGAATATTTTCCATTGAACATTTGTATTGAAAAGTCTATCAGTCAAAAACTGATAGAAAGTTCAGTAGAAATCCAATAAAAAATTTTTGCTATTCAGTAGGTTTTTCTGTGAATTTTTTTCGTACGTGGATTATAACGCTGTGATTATATAGGAAATGATTATTGGAAAAACTAAGAATCCCCTTTTTTTACAGATAATTGTCTCGTCTGCAAAAAAGAGATCTGGCGATTTTTCTCAGAAGCACGTCATTGACAATAATTCGAGTGTTACGTATGCAATTGCATCAACTCAAACAACAAATTTTCATGGTGAATAAGTGAACAGTGAATTGTTACCTCTATGAGCCATGTGACTAATTGAACAAAGGGCGGCAGGACTGAAGAGTCACGGACTTTTTTTATAACGAGAACGGTGAGGGGGGGCTTGTACCAGGTCAGTCTCTGGGATGCTGGGTCTTGAATGGTCCTGCAAAAAATATTTTTCCAATTAATTTTCCGGAATTGTCAGAAATACGGTCGACTCTTTCTTGAAATTCCTGGGTGAATACTTCGGGACAACCTTCAAATGCACGAAATTCCTCTGTTGGAGAATGAAGTTAGAGAACTCAACGGTCTAATGACAAAAAAATAGGGAAATTAAAAATTAAAGAAGTAAAAAGATTTAATTTTCATAGTGAACATTTGTCGTGAATATCTAGAGAAATATTATCAAAAAAAATTTCCATTTTTCCGATACGTCAAAGTCCCAACGAGAGAAATTAATTGATTAGATAACGCGATGAAAAATAAAAAAAAGCAGATGAAATTAAATTTCTCAAAAACATTGCGATTTGCTTTTTTGAATTCCCCCAACATTTAAAAGGTTCGAATATTGAGGAAAGAGGAGACTAAAAAAAGACTCATTTAAAAAAAATGGATTTATTCATAGATTCATTGTATTTTTAATTGCAACTTCACGCGCAGAACAATTCAAATCAGCGATGAGAGTGCACAAAATAGGATGCAATGTCCTGCAAATATATCAATTTTTAATCAATTTCGGGGATTGTCACTGAAATGCGGTCGACCTTTCATTGAAATTCCTGGATGAATAGTTCAGAGTTCACCTTAAAAATACATAAATAAATAACCAAATGAAAACTGGAAAAAGGTAAAAAGATCAAATTTTCACAGTGAACATTTTTCGTGAACAACTAGAGAAATATTATCAATAAAAATTTCAATTTTTCCGATACGTCAAAGTCCCAACGAGAGAAATTAATGGATTAGATAAAGCGATGAAAAATTATTGATTATATGAAATGATGAAAATCAAATGATGAAAAAAGATTGAAAAAAAATTGATTTGAATTAAAAAAAGCAGATGAATTTAATTTTTCACTGTGAATTATGATAAGCGATTCGCTTTTTTCAATTCCCCCAACATTCAAAAGATTTGAATATTAAGGGAAGAGGAAACTAAAAAAAAATCATTTAAAAGATAGATTCATTCATAGATTGATTGTATTTTTTATTGCAACTTGAGGCGAAGAATAATTCAAATTCAAATCAGCGATGAGAGTGCATAAATGGTTTTATCCAATGTACGTGATGTATCTAATTCGTCGAGCGAGAGTCTACTGACACCATGAGTTTGTTTACCCCCAGCTGAATTATTACGTCAAACTGTAATGGGAATATCAACTCGTTTCGATATATTGTAAACTACCGAGATATGAAGTAAGACCTAATGTTTTCTTATCAGGGCCTTATCCCTAGCTCGTTTGAAAGCACGGTGAGTCGACAAAAGTCAATATTTTCCCGTATTTAACATATAAATTGAAATACATCCCTCATTATTCCTATTAATAATAATCATTAATTCCACTTCTCCAATTTTTTACTACATTCTCTTAATTTCTAGAACGAAATAAATTTCATTTTTCAACTTTATATGAAAATAAAATTTGTTTTTAACGAAGATAGTGCAGAATAATCATCAATAATTAATAATTATTCATAATAATTAACGGTTGATTCCCATTTAACAATTTTTTCAATCAAACAATTTCTTCTTCCAATTTTTAATCATAAAAAATGGAAAACCGCAATAATTAATAAATTAATCAAATGATTTTTACTTACTTGACAGTTCCCACCATTCTTCAATATTAAAATATAAAAATCGACGAATAAATAAACAATATATTAAAATTATTCAACAAAATAAAATTTTGAAATGATCTCAACAATTCAATAATTTTGATACTCTAGGAATTAAATTTTCATTAGACTGATGTTTTGAGATCTGCGCGGGACACAACCGAACATTTTGCGGTCGTCTCGGGTCGGGGGTCGCGCGCATACTGACCGTCTCGTTCCGCTCCTCCTTTTTTAAAACTCCAGAACCATGAAAAATTGAATTACGCATGCGTCACAGTCGCAACGTGCAGCCAACTCTAGTCTCCCCGGAATTAAATCGGTATTGTAATTATTGGCGTTGTCGCAGTGGCAATTCTCAAAACCTTTTTTCGTCTTATTATTTTGTTTTATTTTCATGTATACGGATGAGCGCTTCCTTGTGCGTACGAAACATCAAAGTTCACGCGATGAGTTCATCGACACGCGGACGTCGGGAGACTATTGTTCCGCCACCCTCTGTCCCAGAGTGTAATTACAAAATGTAATTTTATAGATTTCGGATTATTTACAATGTGAATTTTGTTAAAAACAAAAATCCATTCGGAAAATTCAGCGTTGAATTTAGACATAATTTGACATTAACCCTGTGACTGGCACTCGTTCCCCCCTACTAGAGATGCAAATGCGTCACATGACCCGTCATATGACGGTCATGTGACCGTCATGGCGTTCATGACGGCTGTCACAATTCCCCCTCCCCCTTCTGTGACCGTCACAACTTGTCAAGAAAAAATGACAGTCATTTTTCATCTATATAGATGAAACTTTATTTTTTTCTCGGTCAATTTTCAGTTGAATTCCTTTTGTATTGGCCTAATCCACATTTTGAAATGGAAATCACGATTTTGTTCCATCCATATAGATGAAACTATTTTGTTTTATTCATGACCGTCACAAATTGGAAATTAGTTATAACCGTCATTATGCAACTATATAGATGGTTTGACAGCAATTTGGTTACAAATGATTTGTGACAATCATTTGTAGTTGGAAAATTTGTGCGTCACATGACCGTCATTTTTTGGTCATATGACGCGATCTAAAAAATGACGGTCATTTTGCATCTCTACCAATGTGGGCCGGGCGTTCGACGTGAAAGGGGATGAGCAGTGAGCGCGCGAACAGTGCCGTAGCACTAAGCGCACGTTTGAATACATGAGTCCAAAGTATAAAAATTTTTAAAAGGAATTTATTGGTAGATAGGATGAAACAAATTTAAGGAAGAAAAGAAGCAGTTTGAAATAAGACATCTCATTGCTGTCAATCTCCAAATCATGAACAGGACCTGGATTCAACAAATGGGTGCACTGGATAATTCTCAATATTTGAACACTATTTTCGTTCTAGGTTTTCATAAATTTGAGATGGTTGCTTTATTTTTTATCCCTCATTATTTGCTGTCTATCTATCAAAACTTCTATTACGTATTACGCGAGAATATACAGAGGGCCCCGGTAGCTTTGCAATACAACGGTCCTGACGCTACAGGAGTGGGGGAATAGTCACGTGACCATTTCTCACTAACACATCGCGCGGCGCGCCGTGATTGGCGGCCATCACACGGATACGGTTTCGTACGGTTTGCAAGTCAGAAGATTAATCAAGGAATACAAAATTGCAAAGAAAAATCACGAAAATAACAAGTGCATATCGCAGCGGATTATTTCAATGAATAGTCAATACTCACATGACCATCGCTGAATTTTTCATGATTCGCCCGCATGGCCCGAACTGCTGAATGGGACTAGGTGCGTTGAGACTCCTGGTTCTCCTGTAAAAATAAACGCAAATGAAAAATTCATTAGCATCGATTGATAGTTGATGTATGCACATGCATAAATCATCATAAAAAATATTGGAAAAATTACTAGGTCACATGCGGGCTGTCTGTAATTTATGAACGATTCAGTGTTGTATCGAAGGTAGACGATGGGTGTCACGTGTAAGGGGACTTGCGTCAAAATACAAAAAAAAAATTTCAATATTTAAAGTCACGAGTGTCGTTCATTCGATACCTCAGCACCCGGTTTTTGTGGCCGTTCTCCAGAGACACTTTCGCGTCATTCTCCAGCTGATCGAATTCAAAATTTCCGTCGATGTAGCCGAGGGCTGATGCTTCTCTCAAAGGAGACACTTGATCCATTTTAATGTTCAGTAACAACAACCAATCACAAGAACATGTCTCTTAACGTAAAGCCTGAGTCCACACTGTCTTCACTATCATCACGACAAGACGATAATTAAATTATAAAACAAGCCGACAATGAGATGGTTGATATATCTATGGAGTGGAAGCTAGCCGAAAATTCGTTTGCCGAAAATAGGAAAGCAGTGGTTCTCACGCTCGACCGAGTTTCCACCCTTGGAAGATGATTTAGCAGATTNATATCTCCCTAAATCTAAGCTAGAAGCTGAATCACCTTAGATTAGCGGTCGATATTCCAACTAAAAACGAACTAAAAGTCACGAAGATGAAAACTATAAACAACAAAGTAGCACGAGTACACGTGAGAAATTATCCCGTGACTTGATGTTCGCGGGTCAAAGAGTCAGACCTTTTGTCCTCCCCACCCCAAACCGTCTTGATCGTCAAGTGATCCTAGACACCGAATCAATCAGTCAACGTCCATCATCAAACCGCCACAGACCATTTGCTCCAATTCACCACATCTTGGCTAAATGAAAAGGGAGCGAGTGAAAGCCTGAAAGGAATCCGCGGTAACCATACACCTGGAATGCAACAATGAAGGGACGTGACGTTGCGAATTCCACGGGGTGAGTCAACGTTTTGATCGTCATTCGAGGCAGCTGTACAAGAGAGATGAGAAGAAAAAGGAGAGGGAATTGCCGCTGCAGGAGGAAGAAGTAAAAAAGGGAGAGATACCGCAAATAGCTGGTCTCTGCTAGCGATTGGTATGTAATAATTCTCGGAAAAACAATGATCGTTATTCCTTAATTCCAGTGGGGGATATTTTAATGACCGACTCGTTGAGAAATAATTTGCGTCTGTAACCTCGATTATGGAAGGTCGGTGTTTTTTTTTTTCGAGCACGAGGAAGAGGTAAGGTCATGAACAAGCGATGAAAGGAAAATGAAAGGAATTGAAAGTCTTAGTTGCGTGTTCTGGATGATCGGGTTGAATTTTTGTGGTCATTGGGGGTTATTGGAGGGGATAGGCTGTAGAAGTTTTCGTCAGTGAATGATAGGGATCATCCAGTTAAGAAATACGCGTATATTTATCGATCTTAAGATCATTAAAATTCTAGGTCTTTTCGAAATTTCACGCTTTTAGACTACTACAGCGTTAGAATCTCAAGACCTTGAGCAGGATTCTGATAAAAGAAGCCATCCATAATGAGGAATAATCACCTATCTAAATAATTTCGATTAATGACCGAAAAATGAGAAAAATCAGAGTTCTTCATCATGATTGAAATTTATGGAATGCTAGGTCGCGTATTGCGGATGATCGGGTTGAACTCCTGTGGTTATGAGGGGTTATCGGAGGGTATAGACATTGGAAGTTTTCATCTGCGAATCATAGTGATCATCCAGTTGAGAGATACGCGTGGATTTATCGATCTTAAGATAATTAAAATTCTAGGTCTTTTCGAGATTTCACGCTTTTAGACTACTACAGCGTTAGAATCTCAAGACCTTGAGCAGGATTCTGATAAAAGGAGCCATCCATAATAAGGAATGATCACCTATCCATACAATTTCGATTAATGACCGAAAAATGAGAAAAATCAGAATTCTTCATCATGATTGAAATTTATGGAATGCTAGGTCGCGTATTGCGGATGATCGGATTGAACTTTTGTGGTTATGAGGGGTTTCGGGGGGTACAGACAATAGAAGTTTTCATCTGCGAATGATAGTGGTCGTCCAGTTAAGAGATACGCGTGGATTTATCGATCTTAAGATCATTAACATTCTAGGTCTTTTCGAAATTTCACGCTTTTAGACTACTACAGCGTTAGAATCTCAAGACCTTGAGCAGGATTTTGATAAAAGGAGTCATCCACAATGGGGAATAATGACCTCTCAACAATTCCGATTACTGACTGAAAAATGAGAAGAATCAAAAGGATTTATCATGTTTCAAATTGATGGAATGGTAGATTGCGTATTGCGGATGATGGGGTTGAATTTCTGTAGTTATGAAGGGTTATCAGAGAGGATAGACGGTAGAAGCTTTCGTGAGTGAATGATAGGGATCATCCAATTAGGAGATACGCGTGGATTTATCGATCTTAATATCATCAAAATTCTAGGTCTTTTCGGAATTTCACGCTTTTAGACTACTACAGCGTTAGAATCTCAAGACCTTGAAGAGGATTTTGATGAAAGGAGTCATCCACAATGGGGCATAATCATCTCTGTAAACAATTTCGATTAATGACGGAAGAATGAGAAGAATTAGAAGCCTTTATCATGATTGAAATTTATGGAATGCTAGATTGCGTATTGCGGATGATGGGGTTGAATTTCTGTGGTTATGAGGGGTTATCGGAGAGGACAGAGGGTAGAAGCTTTCGTCATTGAATAATGGGGATCATCCAATTAGGAGATACGCGTGGATTTATCGATCTTAATATCTTCAAAATTCTAGGTCTTTTCGGAATTTCACGCTTTTAGACTACTACAGCGTTAGAATCTCAAGACCTTGAAGAGGATTTTGATGAAAGGAGTCAACCACAATGGGGAATAATCATCTCTGTAAACAATTTCGATTAATGACGGAAAAATGAGAAAACTTAGAAGCCTTTACATGATTGAAATTCATGGAATGCTAGATTGCGTATTGCGGATGATGCGGTTAAATTTCTGTGGTTATGAAGGGTTATCGGAGAGGATAGACACTAGAAGTGTTCATCAGCGAATGATAGGGATCATCCGATTGAGAGATACACGTAAATTTATCGATCTTATCATGACCCAAAAATCTAGGTTTTTTCAAAATCTTCGGGATTTCCTCCAGATTAATCGTGACTTGCAATGACAACAGATGAGGTAATCTTCACCTGTCTTGACAATACCAAATAGTGTCTCCTGTTCTGAGAATCGCAACATTCAGATAACAGTATCACGCGTATCCTTTTCTAGTGAATCGACCAAACTCTTGAAAACACCAATTCGCAATTGAGATTTTCCATTGATCACCCTTTCAGGCACATCAAGGTACTTTCCAATCGATTACATGATCGATACGGAGAGAAATACAAGACGCAGTGATATAACACCACTCCCTCAGGGACAAGCAATGCTTTTCACGATACTCACTTCACCGGTATTCAATGAATCAAATAAAAAAAAACTTGAAAAATCATGGCGCATTGAATTTCCAGATATTGCGTTTAGAAAAATCCCGATGTATTATAATTTGCGAATGGATGCGAACGGCAAATCACAAATGAAACATTTAAATCACTTCTCTGAACTTTGATCACTTCATTAGATTTGCAAAATAAATCAGATGACGCGAATATTACGTATTTGATAATACGTTATCACCTTTTTCCATCCACTTTTTTCCAGAAATAGGTAATAAAACGGGTGAGAAAAAATTGTCCGTTAGCAGCCGAGACAGACCCGAGCCGAGTCGAAGTTACACGCGGAATGACGAGTGCTCCATGGCCCGTAGGAGCTGGGCCGAAAAGGAGGGGGGGAGGGGGAAATTCCTCCCGGCCCTCCATTCCGACGATTCAGACCGTAAGGTTCAGATATTTTGGCTCTGCTGGTAAGTTCGGGATTATTAGTGTTTTTGTTCATTTTTTGCAACTAATTACCCGCGAGAGCCCCTTCTCCTAAATTTTACTGTTGCGCACGTATGAAAAAATTGTACAGAAATTTTCTACACGGATTGCATATAGAATTTCTATGGGATTTTCGTATATGATATTCGGATATTTCTATACGGATATGTTTTACACAAATTATGTCTATACGATTTCTACAGATTTAATCCTATACGACTTACTGCCACGTGTATAGAAACATTTCGTATGGAATTGCAACATTTCTCTACGTTTTTCTCTGGAATGTTTAGACATATTTCGTATGAATACAAAAATTTATTTAAAAATTCATGTATAGAAATAATTCGTATAGAAAATATTCTTATAAAAATATCCGAATATCATATACAGAAATCCTATAGAATTTCTATACGCAATCCGTATAGGAAATGTCTACGATTTTTTCATACGTGCGCCCCCTAGATCATCTCCAAATAATTAGAAAAATATCTTCTAAAAAATTTCAACCCTCTATTTTAACCCGAAGCACCCCCCCCCCCCCCCCCC